CCATTGCCAGTTGAGAAGCATCAGAAAAGCCGTGAAATCCCACTGTCAATGTACTCCATGTGTTATACCACCGAGGTACTGAGATCTTGCGCAAGCTGGTGAGTTCCTTTCTGATGATGAGCCACCGTGATGAGAGCTGGGATGGCAGTGGTTCATCCCATTGGAGCTTATGAAGCCAAAGCTCCTGCAAGAGCATCTTCGCCTTGATCACGACTGGTGATGCAAAGCCTAGTGGATCGAATATCTGAGCCACTTCAGACAAAACGAGGCGTTTGGTGAGATGATCGGTATGCGACGAGATCCTTGTTGCGAATGCGAATGAATCTTCTTGAGGAAGCCATCGTAATCCGAGTATCTTGTTTGCGCAATCGTCAAATGTAATTTGTGAGCCCTGGTCTTTCTCTGCTTGAACCGCAGTGAGCACGTCTGGATGAGTCGCGTGCCACTTGGCTGAGGGAAAACCGCCCGCCATGCACAAGTTCTTCAGCTGCAATGCAATTTTGATTAACTGTTGGACAGTGTCAGCGCCTCCAAAGCTGTCGTCGACGTATCGACCTTGAAGGATGGACGGCACTGCAAGAGGAAAATTATGGCCTTCGTCCTTCACCAGTTGCAGCAGCGTTCGTACTGCCAAGAACGGGGCAGCCTTGGTGCCATACGTGACCGTGGTTAGATAATATGCCACTTTATTGAGCAGTTCGTCAAGCCAGAGAATCCGTTGTAAGTTCCAGTCATCTTCATGCACGTTGATCTGTCTATACATCTTGGTGATGTCCGTGGCAACTAGGTGTCGAAATTGTCGAATCCAGAGCAAGACATCGGTGACGTCTAAATGCAACTTGGCTCCCGTGTGCATGATATCATTAAGTGAGCGGCCAGATGTGGATGCGCTCGAGCCATTGAATACCACACGTAATTTCGTGGTTGCACTGTCTGGTTTGAGCACTCCGTGATGTGGCAAATAATATTGCGTCTGCTGACTGGAAACGGGTGAAGCTTTCTTCATGTGGTTGAGATCTCGATATTCTGTCATAAATTGATGATACAGACGTCGATAGTTTTCATCTCGGGAGAGTCTCCTTTGTAGACTTTGCAAACATCGATGCGTAGTGAGATACGAATCGCCAAGAGTATCAGGTGATGATTTTAGTAGAAGTCGAACTGTGTATCGACCTGTTGAATCCCGTGAAACAGTACTCTTGAAATGTTCGTCACATCTTTGCTCGTCAGGAGTAAGATCAAGATTGTTGCTCGCAGGCTCTTCTTCTTGTATCCAACATCTCGACAGTAACTCGTCGAGAGCATCTTCCCTCTCATGAATCGATGCATGATGCACTGCAGCAGGTGCCGATGATGATGTGTCGACCGTCCCGAGGACGAGCCATCCAAAGATTGAAAGCTGCGCAATTGGCATCAATGTATCCCGTTTGATGATGTTGGGCTTGATGATCTGCCCATATGAGTCAGCTCCAATGATAATATCCACTGGCCGAGGTGTCAAGGAAATCTGGATCGGCCAAGATCAACCTGGTGAGATGCGGCCATTCCTGTGGTGCAGCGTTGAAGGATGGCAGAATGTTTGTTAACGTCTGCAGAATGTGAGCTTGAATAATGACGTCTGTTCTTGAGTGAAGTGAGCGGAGCGTAAGCATTCAACTCCTTGAGTTTGCGTCGCCTTCTTCGCCACCAACTCCCGTGATGAGAATGACGGAATGATGACGAGTGATGTTGAGCTGGCGACCGAGAGATTCTGAAACAAAGGTAAGTTCTG